TTATTTTGGCTGCAGTCCTAAACACACTTCTAGGGCAGAAAGTTCTATTAAGATCAGAGGGTTTTGCTTCCAATAAAACAAATTTAGGATTGTGCTGCATATTTATTCATTTAAAAAAAACAACACACACACAAACACACAGTCATTTGAGCAACGGGACCATACGCAAAACCAAGCTTTAATATTTCTTATAGCAAACGTGAGCAAAAGCTGTTGTACAAGTGGCATTACCAAATTGAATGGTAAGAAGCCAACCAGTATTGAGATCAGGAAATGGGTTGTGGATGAAGAAGAGATGATCATACCATTTAAAAACCTTGACCCCAGCAAAGGTTTTTATGGAGTGTGGGTTGTTTTTTTTTTTACCTTGGTCAATTTAGAGCGAGGGGAGAGAGAGCTTCATTTTCTCCACATTTTCAAGCTGACCAACTTGATTTGCACCCTCTGGATGAATGCACAAACTGGAACACATTTGAATTTCACACTTCTTGAAGTTTTGCAGTACAGTTCTCAGCTTGAAAAATCACCAAAATGCATTCATAAGTTTATTTTAAGAATAAAGCATGTTTAGTAATGCATACATTGATATGAATGTAGATTTTTATATGGACTTTACAAAAAAAGATCACAGACTAATACAGAAATGGGATGGAAGAGACACATGCTAAACAGCATTTCAAATGAGTTGTGCTCATTCCACGACATCTCCTGGAAGCTGCAGAATCAACAAATTCTCCTGTGTACATGTAGTATTAAGGAGCAGGTGTCTGCCTACCTCTGAGCATGACCGGCATGCAACTTTAAGTTTTTAACAGCTGCTTGGAAAATTGATTGGAAATGGAACCCAAAAACGACCAAGCAAAAGCATATGCCATTTCTCTGGAGTGGTGGTTAAAGAACTAGATAAGGAATAGGACTCAGACATATTTATGATGATGATGATGATGAGATGATGATGATGTTTTATGAATTACCTTCCACATATATGCCCCAAGGCAATTAACAGACATAATCTTAAAAATGGTTGATATACACACATGCACACACACACACACACACACACACTACATGAACAACAAGGTATATAAAGGAACTAAGTATTTAATATTTCTGTGCCAGGGAACACAATACACCAAAGCTTCTTTTTACTACTCTCATGTCTTTGCCCCATCCAGCTGTTTTGATTGAAATGCTCTGTTCTGCTTTGGATGGTAGAGAACTGAACTAGATCATTGCCTGCAGTTTGACACCACTTATCTAAAATGACGCCAAAACCAGTGACCTACCATATGCATTAAGGATTTGATGACAGGTCCATCAAGCTTTCATCAGCACAGCCATCATGGAATGATATCATGATGTACGGTATTGGGGTGAGAGGGGGGACTTGAGTAACTGTATTGGCTTTGTCCCTCTAGATGAGTTAAGATGTCATTACGATAGCATAAAATGCTTTGAAAGCATCCCCAAGAGCCTTCAGTTGACATTAGAGGAGGCTTTTTGCAGGACCTCATCCCAGCGCCTAGTAATAATAATCAACATTTTTACTGAGGTCAACACATGATCCTAGAATGAGTCTTAGCCTACAATACCCTTCCATAGGTCCTCAACCCCTAGAATATATCATCACAGTGACTAAATTTATTGCACACATTTATTGTGCAGTGTACAAACTGATTTTTTGTTTTTTTACAACTTGCCACTGGCACTAACTCTGCCTTCACACACATTCACACACTCTCATACACATGCAACACACACAATATTTCAGAAGTGGCCTAACATAGTGATGGATTTGTCTACTAGATTTGTCGCTGCTACATGTAGTGGCGTGTATGGTTCACACCTTCAAGACTAACCACTGTGGACATCAACCAAGTTTATGCAGACTTTTGAGTCTTTATAGTTAAATCTGCTTATTGGGGAGAAACCAGGTTGCACTCCCACAAAGCCTATTCATCAAATGTCTTGAAGTCTGTAATGCTCAGAAGAAATAATTACCATTCTGTTAGCGATAGAATCCTGTTTCAGAATAACAGGTGGGATATCAAGGTTTATTCTAGATTGCCATGTTTGTTGAAAGGTAAGCGATAAGGGAGGTAAATAATTGTCTAGGACATGTAAGCTGTATTTGCCACAGAATTGCTATTCAGCTCCTTCCGGGGCTGTTTTGGGGAAATAGGAAGATCCCCAGCAGAAGCTTTCTGGAACTCTGAGGTCTGAAAGCCCTGCTTTCTAACCTCAGCTGCTGTGAAAATGCCTTTAGCTCAGATGGTAGAGCATGAGACTCTGAATCTCAGGGTTGTGGGTTCAAGCCCCATGTTGGGTGAAAGATTCCTGCATAGCAGGGGGGTCATTAAATTTTTTTTGGGGGGGGGGGTCGGAGCCTCAATGGAAAGGAGGCAGAGAAGCCTGCATGTGTTCTCTGAATCCATTCACAGTTCAGTGGATCTGAGCCTCTGTGTTTTCTTTTTCTTGACGTACTTCCCCTATTTGGTTATTTTGGCGGCAATAAATATCCTGTGCTGTGGAATATATCAAAAGATGCGTTCGTGTGATATGTGGATGAACTATTTTGTTTCAAGATGTTTCTGTGAATTTTCTCGCAGAAAGAAATGTTATGACAGACTCTGTGGATATTTTGGCATTTCTGAAATATGTACTCCTTTGGATACCTTTTTTCTTTTGTTGGTTAGAAAAATAGACTCAAGAACCCCTCAAAGGGTAGATCTTCCTAGTGGCCAAACTACATGTATCTTGCAAGTAAGCTGGACCCTGAAGTTTGAAAGGACCAGAACAAAAGCCATTTCATGACAGAATACACTGGGGCTATGTACACACCACACCTTTAAAGGACATGCAAAGCACACAATTTCCCTTAAAGAATTCTGGGAACTGTAGTTTACCCCTCACAGAGTTACAGGTCCCAGCAACTCTTAACATACTACAGTGCCCCAATTCTTTGAGGGAAAGAATGTGCCTCTAATGCACTTCAACAGCATAGTGTATACACAGCCTACTACTACAATAAATGAAATGAACTATCCAGTGCTTTTTTCTGGAGCGACGCAGGGGTACGCATACCCCCAAACATTTTGTAAATATAAGTTTGGCCTCATTGAGAGGCAGTATTTCAATATGAGTAGGAAAATGAGAGTACTCCTAAACATTTTTTAGGAAAAAAAAAAGCACTGGAACTATCAAATGCACATATACTTTGAACACTTCTGGCATGCCACAAGCTGTTTGTATTGAATCCAATACAGCAGGGGTGAGGAATCTCAGGTCCAGGGGCCAGATGTGGTCTTCTAGGCTACTTACTCTGAGTCTTGGGATTCTCCTTAGGCTGCATCTCCTTTCTTTGGGCCATGCCCCTCACTGCCTCTCTTCTGTGCCCTCCTTGCGTGCTTTGGCCTGGCTCAGGCATAGGCAAACTCAGCCCTCCAGATGTTTTGGGACTACAACTCCCATCATCCCTAGCTAACAGGACCAGTGGTCAGGGATGGTGGGAGTTGTAGTCCCAAAACATCTGGAGGGCCGAGTTTGCCTATGCCTGGCCTGGCTGGCCTGTGTCCTTGGGTGGTGATGATGCCTTTTACTTTCCTGGATGGTGGATGGGAGAGATGAAGGAGCGTCTCTACCCCCCACCGTTCTACCTGGACCCTGAGGTCCAGCACCGAGGGCCTTCTGGCAGTTCCCTCACTGCGAGAAGCCAAGTTACAGGGAACCAGGCAGAGGGCCTTCTCGGTAGTGGCGCCCGCCCTGTGGAATGCCCTCCCACCAGATGTCAAAGAGAACAAAAACTACCAGACTTTTAGAAGACATCTTAAGGCAGCCCTGTTTAGGGAAACTTTTAATGTTTGATGCATTACTGTATTTTAATATTTTGTTGGAAGCTGCCCAGAGTGGCTGGAGAAGCCCAGCCAGATGGGCGGGGTATAAATAATTTATTATTATTATTATTATTATTATTATTATTATTATTATTATTATTATTAGTGCATAGGCCCCTCTGGTTTTGACGCGAAGTGTCATTGCCATTGCTATGACTACCTTTTGCTTCTGGCTCCACCCTTCACTGGCATGTGCCCCCTGAAAGAAAAGATTCCTTACCCCTGCGATGCCATAAAAATGCTGGTCATAAAACAGCAACAAATGCTCACTTTAAGCCAAAATAGAAAGCCTAGCCAAGATGCAGTGGTGGTTGGTATCCATTGGTGGATTGGTGGTAGTCTCTGTGGGAGTACTGTACTGTATATTGTATTTAATTATGGGGTATCAGAGTTTTTAGGGGGTTAACCAGGCTGGGATAGCTGGAATAGCAGGCTTGTTGGTTTTGAATGTCTGATGTAGATTTTTTCAATTTTGTTGTTCTGTATGGGACAATGACAATAAAGATTACTGTAGCGTATCATGGAAAGCAGGATGGCCAACCGTAGATGGAGCCAGAGCCAATAACAGGTGGACCAAACTAATTATAACTTTGTCCCCATCCCCATGCTTGCTTGGGGCAAAACAAATTAAGGCAGAGGAAGCAGACAGTCAGAGCCACCCTCTGGACTGGACGCAAGTAAGAAAGCAGATGGACTTGGAGGAAGTCAGTCTGAGCTTGATGGGGGGCAGTGCTAGTGTTTGGTACAAACGTCAGAAATTTCTCAGATTATGGCTGATTTGTGACTCAAAGCGCAGCAGCTGAAAAAGCAAACTAACTTTCTGCATCCCACCCAGCCACCCACCTCTGCTTGCATATAGGCAAGACAAGATGGTAAGCCATCGTAAAGGCTGCCATGGTCCTCCGAATCTTTTCCCTAGTGCCAGCACCTCAACTCCATCTCCTGTGCCTCTTTTAAAACACGAGCGCTGTGTTGATATAGGTTACTCTGGATATCAAGTTGCATAGCTGTTACCTTTATTTGTCAGATTTGATGGCTTGGATAGGTGCAGGCTTGGTTGTCGCTTTTCGATTTCCCTCCTGACCTTATGTCACCTTTTCTCTGCAGATTGACTTTGAAGACGTGATTGCCGAACCTGAGGGAACCCATAGTTTCGATGGGGTCTGGAAGGCAAGCTTCACCACCTTCACTGTGACAAAATACTGGTTTTATCGCTTACTGTCTGCCCTCTTTGGCATCCCCATGGCTCTCATCTGGGGCATCTACTTTGCCATCCTGTCCTTCCTCCACATCTGGGCAGTGGTGCCCTGCATCAGGAGCTACTTGATTGAGATCCAGTGCATCGGCCGAGTCTATTCTATCTGCATCCACACCTTCTGCGACCCGCTCTACGAGGCCATTGGCAAAGTGTTCAGCTCCATCAGAGCAACAGTACGGAAAGAAGCATAACTGACGTTTCGAGGAGCCTGAAGGGAGGGTCTTCTCCCCTCCCCTCCATATTTTTTTTTTTGTGCCAGTCCCAAGGCTACATCAACGGTGAACAAAGCAACTGGCGCACGTCATCTAATGAAGCAGCCAACTTGAGTGCAGCAAAGAATCACTTGCCCAAATCTCCCCCCTACTTAATCTCTCCTGGAATTATATCTTCCCTTCTTTTTTCAGGAGGGAATCTGCATATTTTTTTTTAAAGGCCAAATATAAAAATTGCTCCTCTCCCATTCCTAGCTGCCTATTGTTTTGCTGACCCTTTGACGAACTGACTCATGTTCTGCTTACCCTTTCCGTTCATTTGTTGCAAGTTCAGTTCACAACGCTATAAAATAAAGAACCGAAACATTGCTTTCCAGCGCTATAACGCTGCCCTTGATTTTACTGTGAGCGACAAAAAAAAAGGATCTAAAAGCTATTGCAGCATAATGGACGTGACAAACTGGCAGATTTTAAAAGAATGTTCTTTTTTCAGATGTATTGTCTGTCGACTGTAGCGCTTTACTGTAGTGGGCCACATCTAACTGCTACACACAGATAGATCTAAGTAAATAACTAATATATATATATGGTGAAGAGAGAGACACACAGAGAGAAAACAGATGCCTTTAGGATAGCGCCTTCAACCCAGGCAGCTGTCCCTACCCACAAGATGCTACAGCTGTTGCTTCGCCTTTGATTTGTTTTTGTGGTTCCTCCTGAAAGATTCATTGCAGATCTTTATCACAGGTCACTAAAAGGAGTACACAAGGAGCCACCTTAGTGCCTTTGAATATGGAATCGTTCATCTAACCCAATGGCATGAATTCCATATTGGTGGATCTTGCATGTGACACACTAGATCTGCCCGGGATCGAATGTGCAGCTTCGCAGGAATGCACCACACATGCTTCATCATCGAGGTGTGGTTCTGGCCGATGTCAATAGCCAAGGTTAGAATCCAAGCCAGAAATGCATTGTGGATTTGTTTTCTGGAACGGGGGTCCCCATGTAAAACCAGCAAATGTTCTGCGGCGCTGCCTGTACCGAAGGATAATTTATCGCCCAAGCTACTATTAACTGCATGCCAAAGTACTCTTTTCAGCAACACGTGCAAGAAAAGGTTCCAAGAGGATACGGCGACAGTACAGCGGAGGGACGAGGTGTGTCCAGCTCCTGCAGTCATAACAACTACGAACTGGGTTTGGATGGGTGTTTTGGTTTGGTTTGTTTGTACAAGGGGCTCTCTTTAAAATCCCCTCTTCAGCCAAGGTCAGCATGTTGCTGGTCCATTCACGCTTTGCTTACTTCACACTAATCCACCGCAAGAGTGGCTTTAGCATTATGTACTACATTGTGATTCTGCCCCCCCTTCCCACCCCCACTAAGCTGAGTTGTACACATCAATCAGGAAGTCTTCATGGAGGTAATTTGTGTGAAATTGTCAGTGACGGGGGGGGGGGGCAGGGACAGAAATAAAGCCTCTGCAACATGATGTTGTGCTATGACCAGCTTGGAGATTTTGCCCTCGCCGTAAATGTTATCTGTATTGAGAAGGTATCTTATTCAGCCTTGCAAGAAATCTGTTTGTTGCTGCTGCTTTTAAAAAAAAATAGCTGTGAGGTGGAGTTAACTGGGATAAACTTCCTTAAGTATCCAAACTGAGGAATTCTAAAGCCGGAGCTTCTTTTTGCTGGGGGTCATTCCCAGTGAACGGCTTGTTTGCAACCTTGCATAAAGTCTGTAGCAGCTTCCAGATGGCAGCCAAGCATTATTAGTGATAATACCTTGCATAGTTCTTGATGCAATATGAATGCTTCAACATTTTTTAAAAAAGTACAATCCTAAACATGTTACTTAGAAGTGGGCCCCATTAAGTTCGTTGGGACCAAGACATTCCACTGCTGAAAGTGGAGTCCGAATCTCGCCTCCTGGCCAGCCCTGCTAAGGCCAACTTTTGCTGCAGACACCAGTCCCTGCCTTCGTTTATCCCCCAGCCCAGTGTGTCATTTGAATCAGGTTGCTTTGCTCCTGTGCAAAACTGCACCTGTAGTCGACCAGCACTGCCCAGCTTGCAATATACAGGCAGCTTTCGTCGCTAGGGCTTACTGGAGACCAGTCTCAGTTTTCTTTTCTGAAAGTGGTTTCCCCATCATTTTCACAGGGTGTCTACATGCACATTGCCATGGCAGCCGAAGTCAGGGCAGCCCAGGCTATGCAGCTGATTTCACTGATCTTCCAGGTGCCATGAAGACTGGACTCTAGTGCACAGATAGTCAACCCAGTGCCCTCCAGATGTTGTCGGATTCCATCTCCCATCAGCCTCGGCCAGTATGGCCAATGGCCAGGGGTGCTGGAAGTTGAAGCCCAGCAACACCATGAAGCAGGGGGGCCAACTTGAATAAAATATTGGGGGGCACAGGTAAGCCCCAACCTGCATAATCAATCACATGAGATGGTGCACACCTAGGACTTGCCAATCGCATGGTCGGCGGTTCGAATCCCCGCGGCGGGGTGCGCTCCCGCTGCTCGGTCCCAGCGCCTGCCAACCTAGCAGTTCGAAAGCACCCCCGGGTGCAAGTAGATAAATAGGGACCGCTTACCAGCGGGAAGGTAAACGGCGTTTCCGTGTGCTACGCTGGCTCGCCAGATGCAGCTTGTCACGCTGGCCACGTGACCCGGAAGTGTCTGCGGACAGCGCTGGCTCCCGGCCTATAGAGTGAGATGAGCGCACAACCCTAGAGTCTGGCAAGACTGGCCCGTACGGGCAGGGGTACCTTTACCTTTTTACACCATCAACTTTGGGGGGGGGGCTGAAGATCCCACAGCTCCTAGGAGTTGGCTCCTGTGTCATGAAGGCAGCATGTCAACGATCGTTACTCAGCCAATGTGGCCTTTGTGGTGTCCATTTTATCACACAATGGACGGATCTGTGCATCTTTCCAAAAGGCAAGGATTCCTGCTTGAAGGAAATCACATTTCCCCAGCACTCAACCAGGAATATTCTGTTGCTGGGGATATGCAGCTCTTTCTCAGACAAGCGAGTTTATTGCAGTAAGGGGACGTTCAAGTTTTCTGACAGGAAACACTATTTTAATAGCTTTTTTAAAAGCCTTACATTTCGTTTTCATTTTTACACAACCTCGAGCACGTTCCCACTATTATTTAAATAGTGGAATTTGCTTTGTCTTTTTAACGTAAAATCAGTGAGTAGTGCACTAGGAAAGGTGCTGTTCCTCCAACAGGTGCAGTGCCATTTCATGGGGTAACCATATTTTGTTCATCACCTGGAAAAGACAGGCTGTAATCTCAACTCTTGTTTTCCTGGAAGGAAGCCCCATTGAATTCAATAGGACTTAACTTCTGAGTAGACATGGTCAGGATTGTACTGTTGCTGGTTGGATACTAGGGCTCCAATCCTGTACCTACTTACTCAGGAGTAACCCCACTGAACTCAGTGCAACTACTACATGTAGAGGACTGCCCTGTGATGCCCAAGCCAACTTACATCTGGTTGCAAAGATGCTAAAGCTTCTACATATTTATATGCATTTTGCTCATGAAGGCCCAGGCTGTGCTTGTTTGCCACAAAACCTTGTTAAGTTAGCAGTGGCAGAGAAAATATAGTCAACTTTTACTCAGGATGCAAGTCACTGCTGAAGCTGATGAGAAAATGCCAATGAATTTCCTGTAATACTAAATAACTTCTGCAGAGTTGTTTTAACAGATCTATAAAAATTAGTAAGAAGTTTTGAGGGATCCCTTATTTTTGGCACATAAATTGCAAGTCTAGTAGCTATTTCTCTCTTCTTGCATTTAAAACAAACACTGGTCTGGCTATAGTTTTACATTTTTACTATGTACATAAGCGAGAGTGTACTATTAGATATATATTTTTGCAGTATTGAGACACACCTTTGGTGATAATCAAAACAAGATCTTATTTTGTCTTTACCTAAGGAAAACACTTTGAAATTGATTGCATAAACTGTGTACCCAGAAAAAGTTCCCAAATCCAAATACATTGCTGATCCAAGATATTTACATAGCTATTGTATGCTTACAAAGTATAATAACTGACACATTTTTTTTTAATTCTGCATGTTCTGCAGCCAAGGCTACAATCTGCACAATAAAAGCCGTTTTAATAGAAACTTTTGCCTGAATACTTATTTTCTCAAAATATCTGCTTGCAAACAAAAGTTTAACATAAAGCCTACTGTGGGAAGGGAAAGCCAATCCATCGAAAACTCCATATAGTGGTGCTATCAAGCTTTGCCCTAGCATTGACAGCTAGTGGTTTAAAACCTCTGCAGCCATGTTTTGCCCTCCCCATACAATTCCTCCTGCGAGTAACACAATATCATCCTGTCCCATTTCTCTTAGGGGAGCTTATTCTACATTCATTCAAGGCAAATGGCAGCAAGGAGCTCTGTATCACTGACTATTTCAGAAGCTTTAGAAGCACCTCTTCACCATTTGCAAAACACCAACCTTTTTGGGAGTCAACTCTGTTACTGCCAGACTGTTTTATTGGGTATATATGAGCAGCTGCTTGAGTTCGCCCTGTTCCCCACCCTAAATCTCTCTTGGCAATCCGTCAATCGCTCAAACATTTTGTTTGCTGCTCAAATATTTGTCCTTTATCTTTCATGGTGGTGAATGCAAAGTTAAAAGACACTGCTTTGAGCAGACACCTGAATGATGTGACAAACATCCAGCAGATTCTTTGACAAAGCTAGCTTAACGCTGCTGTGTCTAGAACTTTACTCTTGAACGCACCAAATAGGGAGTAAACTTCATTGAAAATGAGCAGAATTTAGGGCTTATCCACACTCACCTTTCACCCCTCACTTTCCAAGCACTTTCCAACTCTCCATGTATGAGCGTTTGGGGGGGATTTTGCCCACAAAACCCCACAATTTAAAGCTGAATTGGAGTACACATCAATTCGGATTTTCCATGGAGAAAAACCTTAGGTATAATTTTGATTTTCACTCATTCTATCTGTTTTCTATCTACCATTCTCCTTCACTGGAAGTTTTTTAGCAGAGCTTAGATGGCCATCTGTCATGGATGCTTTAGCTGAGATTCCTGCATTGCAGGTAGTTGGACTAGACCTTGAGGTCTCTTCCAAGTCTACAAATCCATGATCTATGTGTACAGTTTCCTTGGCCCATTGTCTTTTGCCTTCTCCTTCTCAAAAATGTTTATGCTACCTCCACAATGACTGCCCTTGGGTCAGTGTGCAATCAGCCAGATGAAGATCAATTAACTTGGTGTAGGGGAGGACAGAAGATAAACCTGTTCACTGAAAGCAGAGACCAGATGTTAAAATAGCACATCCCATGGGATACAAGGTGAGTCATTTCCCCTAAAACGAGTGTGGGGTGGAATTTAAGATGCAGCATGGGCAGAAGAGAGTGCAGAATCCTTCCTATACTTGCATTTTTCCTTCCACAATGTTTTCCCACTACTGCAATGCACTCTACATGGGGCTACCTTTGAAGGTGACCCAGAAACTACAACGAATCCAGAATGCGGCAGCTAGACTGGTGACTGGGAGCAGCCACTGAGACCACATAACACCGGTCCTGAAAGACCTAACACTGGCTCCCAGTACACTTCCAAGCACAGTTCAAAGTGTCGGTGCTGACCTTTAAAGCCCTTAACAGCCTTGGCCCAGTATACCTGAAGGTGCATCTCCGCCTCCATCGTTCAGCCTGGACACTGAGGTCCAGCTCCAAGGGCCTTCTGGCAGTTCCCTCCCTGCGAGAAGTGAGGTTACAGGGAACCAGGTAGAGGGCCTTCCTGGTAGTGGCACCCGCCCTGTGGAATGCCCTCCCATCAGATATCAAGGAAATAAACGACTATCTGACTTTTAGAAGACATCTTAAGGCAGCCCTGTTGAGATAAGTTTTTAACGTTTGATGTTTTATCGTGTTTTTAATATTATGTTGGGAGCTGCCCAGAGTGGCTGGGGAAACCCAGCCAGTTGGATGGGGTATAAATAATAAATTTATATTAATTAATTAATTAATTAATTAATTAATTAATTAATTAATTACGGCCATGGGGCCAAGTTAGCAATCCTGCTCTGGTGCAATGTAATAAATGTTGATGTAGCATTTACCTTGGCTCCATTAAAGTCACGAATGCAAATTTTGCACAGGAATGGGGAAACCATTGATGTCCACTCCACCTGCCTTTTAAAAAATATTATTCCTTAATTGTTGTGTGATGACAGCCTGAAACTCATCACTCAAATTATTCCCTCTCTTAGCGATGATCAGGGTTGAGTGCCAATCTTTATGTATCTGAAACAATGCTACCAACATACAAGACGGGGTGGTGGTGGTATCAGTTTGCTCAGGGAACCCCAACATTTGCAGACGTATAAAAATATTTGGGGGAAAGCCCCAAGTGGCTCAAAACAACAACAACCAGCCCCAAACAGCACAAGAGAGCCAGTGTGGTGTAGTGGTTAAGAGCGGTAGTCTTGTAATCTGGTGAACCGGGTTTGCTACTCTGCTCCTCCACATGCAGCTGCTGGGTGACCTTGGGCCAGTCACACTTCTTTGAAGTCTTTCAGCCCCACTCACCTCACAGGGTGTTTGTTGTGGGGGAGGAAGGGGAAGGAGAATGTTAGCCGCTTTGAGACTCCTTTGGGTAGTGATAAAGCGGGAAATCAAATCCAAACTCTTCTTCTTCTTCAATGAGGACTGGGCATGCCCAGTTACTGCAAAATTTTGAGTGTCTGTTGGGAGGGGAGATAGAAATTAGAGAGGCTGAATAATGTATCCTGAAACAGGGCATGGCTGACCGGA